TTCAAACTTTAAAAGAATCAAAAGAGTTTTCAACATTTTATCCTAGTTACACGAACGGCTAATTAAAGAAAGTATTTATGTTAAATTGACAAATGACCCAAGTAGAAACAAGATTCACTTTAAAGTTGTGAACGCCAACCTTAGTTGGCTCATGTTTAGTGGTGATTAAGATCTTGTTTTTAATGTAAATCAAAGTTAATAATTAGCCCCTGTTTGGCCCCCATTATTTGGGATTTTAAGGGGGTTGAAAATTTTTAGAATAGTGATTGATGGGAGATGTGTGGTTTAAAAGTTTTAGATTTGTGTGTATTATTATTTTATTTGATGAATGGATGGTTGAGATGAAGAGAGAGAAAAAATTAATGTAATGGAATGAAATTTGATGGGGAGCAAACAAGGGCTTAATACGAATAACATATTTTACAGGGTTCACAACTTTTTAACCACACGTTTCATTATTTTTTCACATTTTACTTTAAAATCTAATTTTAATCATCATCAATCTGGGGCTTAATATATATAAATTAACTTTATATAGTTGAAATTTGTGAGGATCGATTTGAACTGTTTTTTTTTTTTTTATTGAAGATTGCTCGTGAAACCATAATAAGTTGAGAAGCAAAACTAAACTTATATGAGCCAGACCAAGTAACAATTTAAAGAAAATTCAGACGGTTACCGTTTATAATTGCTTGTGTAGCTATAGTGATTACTATTCAAATAATAAGCTGGGATTGGAGGTGCAGTTTTTTCCATTTGTATTTTAAATGCACATGGGGGTGCGTATGGTCCACTTCGATTCGATTCTATTTAGAACCAAACCAAATCAAACCCAAATTTTTTGGATATTTAGTAAATGGAATCGTCGGGTTTAAATTTATTTATGGAACCGTTTGGCTTCAGTTCAGTTTGATTCTATTTGTTCCGAGATTCTGTACAATAATTAAATTTTTTTATATTATAAAAATGTTACATTAATTTGACTATGACATTCAATCTTAACTCTTACAAAATAATGTAATCAATTAGAGCACACGAACGCTTTGAGCTAAAGCTCTGTACATTTCTCTTTATCCTTTTGGGGGTATCATTCAATGAGTTAATTAAACCACTGCCTACTAAACTTTACCCATGGTTACTACTTGCTCACTGAAATATAAACGGTTACTCAATGTTTATTGAACTATTCATTAGATTACCCATCAATCACTAAAGCCAATTCCGTCTCTACAGCTGGACAAAAATCTCTACGTGGCGGATGATGTGGCAAACAAAATATACACATCAGTGAAAAAAAGCTAAATAGGATTTGTACATAGCCAAACAGGATTCACGTGAAGATTTGAATGAAACCCACATTTCTTCTCCCTTCTCCAATTCCACCCAAATTGAAATCGAAGACCACCGTCGAAATTGAAATCGCTGTCCACTGTTGAAATTGAAAATCGCTGTCCACTGAAATCGATCCTCCCCAAATTGCACTCTTCTCCAATTCCAATCTTTGGAAAGTTCTATCTTCACTGTTAAGCCCCAAATCGCGAACCCTAGAATTTTCTTTCACTTTAAACATATCCAAACAGATATCAAAAAATTTAGCCATAAAACATAGAAATATTCTTGTCTTGATTGTAAGAAGAGGGACCCAATCGAAAAAAATAAATTGGATGAGTCTCTTTTGCAGATCATGGAGGAAGGACCACAAGGTAAATTATTTACAATAATTTTGATGAATTCTTCAATTTTATATTACATATGTCGGAGACATGTCTTGAGTTTTTCAAGCTGAGTTAATTGATTCACATGGAACCCGTCACTGTTGTAATATAATATCAGCACTGAGCTATTTTTCATGAAGTTTTTTTTATACAGTTCAAGAAAAGGAAGATATATCGATTGAATGTGAGTTGATTGATTCAGATAATGAGGTTAACCATCATGATTTCCACTATGATAAGAATGCATTCAAGCATGCACTTGAACTTGATGTTGGAAGGGAAGAAGAGAAATGTTCTGATGAGTTACATTGCCCAAGTGAGGAGGAACGGCATACTGATTACTCTTCTAGTGAAGAAAATATTCATCACTCCCCTGTGTGTGATCCCAAAAAGGAGAAACTCAACCCACAACTTGAGATTGGAAAGGAATTTTAAAAACATTAAAGAGTTTAGGCAAGCTGTGAGAAATCATGGGACTGCTACTAAATGTAATTTGAGGTTTAGACCGAATGATGAGTTTAGAGCACAACCGAATGATGAGTTTAGAGCACATGCTATATATAAATTAGGGAAGGCTGTAAATGATGATTTGAAGTTGACAATTAATAAAGTTATGGCTTGGAGGGCTAGAAGATATGCTAGGTTATTAATATAAGGATCTGATGAGCATCAATTCGGTATGCTTAGGTCTTTTGCAGCTAAGATTTTGAAAACCAATCATGCGTCTACATGCATTGTTACCATGCATGAACTAAAGTTTCAAGGTATATACATTTGTTTAGAAGCTTGCAAAAGAGGGTTCTTGTCAGATTGTAGGCAACTTTTGGGATTAGATGGGTGTTTCTTGAAAGGAACACTTGGAGGTAAAATGCTTGTAGCTGTGGCATTAGATGCCAATGATTGCATTTACCCAGTAGCATATGCAATAGTGGAGGTGGAGAATGAGAATGCTATTACTCGGAGGTGGCTTCTACAACACCTGGTTGAAGATTTGAAGATCTTAAATAGTAATGCTTGGACCTTTATGACTGATAGACAAAAGGGTTTACAGAATGTCATAGACAATTTGTATCCCAAGGCTGAACATCGTTTTTGTGTTAGACACATTTATAGTAATTTCTTCAGGACCGAATTTAAGAGTTTAACTCTGAAAAACTACTTATGGAGGGCTACCAAGTCGACGACAGTATCTGATTGGAATTTTTGGATGGGTGAGATTGAGAAGGAGAGCAAAGCATCACATTCTTGGTTAAAGAAAAGGCAACTAAGTGAATGGAGTAAGGCTTACTTTATGACAAAAGTGAAGAGTGACATACTTTTGAACAACCTATGTGAAGTTTTCAATAATGTGGTATTGGAAGAAAGAGAAAAATTCATATTAACAATGTTAATTGACTTGCACATAAGCTTCATGAAGAGGATACAAGCAAGGAAGGGCAAGATGAGAAAGGTAACTGGACCTTTATGTCCTAAAGTCCAACAGAAGCTTGTGAAGAGTTGTGAGTTATCATATGGATGTGAGATGGATTGGTCTGGTGGGGCACAATCTTATGTGAAATGTCCAAGTGGAGAATTTGTTGTCGATCTACATAATAAGATGTGTGCTTGTAAGAGATGAGATTTGTCAGGGATTCCATGTGGTCATGCAGTTGCTGCAATTTTAGATAGAAGGGGTGAGCCTTGGAGGTACGTGCATGAATAGAATAAAGTTATGGCCTTCGGTTGATACCCTTACAGTCAAACCACCAACTTAAGTTGTGTCTAAACGGTAAAGAAAACAAAAGAAGAGAATGAGACAAGCAGAGGAAGATGTTATCACCTATGTCAAATCTAAGGGTAAGCTGAAGAAGAGAGATATAACAGTAATTACTTGTAATGTTTACGGAGGAACTTGCCACAACATGAGGTATCATCATAAGGCTGACTCAGCACATGAGGTTTGTTTAGAGTTCAAAGATGATGTTTATTTCCTTTTCTTGTTCAACTAATATGGTAAATGGAAACACTATATGTGCTCATTTCACGCTTGGTATGAGAGTGTTATAAATCCTGCAAATGAAGATAGGTCAAACAACGTTGTGAGTGATAACTCATGGGTAATCGAAACTAAGCTTATTTTTTTCAAATTGTTCAAACATTGTGCTTTGCTTAAATGATATCTAACCTTCTTTTCAGGTCAAACTAGTGCTTAGGAGGCCACCGAGCAATACAACAATTGAAGTGCAACCATCAACACCAAAATCTAATTTCTAGTTCATGCCTACGCCTGGCATTGGTATAACAAGTGCATCCCAATTCAACAACTATGGTCCTCCACTTAATTAGCCAGGTAGTTCAACAATGGTGGAAGCTCCTACTACAAGTATTCCACTTGAATCCTTGGTGGATGATCTACAAGATATAGAGAACCAAGAAAAAGCAAGGAAAAGGACAGCCATGATAAAAAATAAAAGGGTCGTTCGAGGGTCAATTGCATTTGCACCACCAAGAATAAAAAAATTAAGCCATTCAGTAGTAGCTCAACAAACTTCACGAGCCACCTATTGATTTAGATTGTAGTTTCACAGTTGTGAAGTACTTTTGTCATTAAGCATTTTTGTAATTCAGCCATTGTTTTTTTTTTTTTTTTTTTTGTAAAGTTGCTGGAAATGATCATTTTGTAATAGATACAAATATTTTTGCAATAGACATGAACCATTTCTATTGTAATAGATTATTACTGTTAATTCAAGCAAAAGTTCAAAGTAGTCTGATTTTGTTATTCTGTGCAAAGTTGGTATCCGCTTCCACTTTCTTGATAAATGGGTAGACTAGTCAATCAACCTTTACCAGTACTTTTACAATGTAAATTACAAAGTTCATAAGATTTTTCCATGTAGTAATAATCATGTATTCTCGGTCTTCATTTCCATGGAAAGCAGGGTAGGTTAGAATGGTGTTGAGTAGGGAATGACTTTTAATTGTATTGCTCAACTTCTGAAGATTCAAGCTTTTTCATCCAACCAACTTTGATGAACTGCTTATTCAACAGCTGCAACAGCACAAGAATGCCAGGAAAGAAGAAGAAATCAGGGGAGAGAGAATGAGAAAACTTATGCTTCAAGCATATCATTCATTTCATTCAATCATTGTCTATTGAAATTACATTACCAAGTCATATAAATAGAGAAGCCAACAAACAAAGAAATTCAAGATCAAACACCAACTATTACATACCAACTACACCTTTAAAAGACCAAGGCCAACATAACTGCCCATCCTAAGGCCTCCAAAAAAAAATCGCAACTAATTGTTCTGAAAACTTAGATCGAGCAAGACAACTAAATTTGGTAAACTTTTATCATCTCTTTTACCTTCTCTACAATTATGGGAAATGTACATCAAACTTGAAAATCCTTGTAATGCAATCTCTCTCGCATTGATAGATTTAGCCTCCAGCATCTTTATGAGAAGAGGAATGCATCCATATTCACCCACTAATCTTTTTATTTCAGTTGAGTTGCAGATTAGACAGATTGTTGAATTTGCTGCCTTTTGTGCACTAAGAGAACCTGATTTAAGCACATGCACCAGCCTTGGAAGAAGGCCTAATGAAACCAAAACATCAACTGAAATCACTCCAACCAAGTTTCTCAATGCCCCAACAGCAGATTCTTGAGGCAGTGGACCGTCTAAATGACATAGAGGATTTTTATTCTGCCTTCTGATACATCCGAATATTGTAAGCTGCAACGGCCTACAAAACAGATGCATCAGTCTGACGGAGCTCAATCAAAGGCCTAACTAACTCCACCATGGCCAACAATTGAGCAGAACGCTTCTGCTGACATAACAACCTTTGGAGAGAAATCGTAGCCTTCTCTCGACCCAGTACTTTTCTGAGATGTGGATGAAGAGAATTCCATGGAAAATTGAAGATAGTGTTCTTCCTAAGGTTAGAATTGGGGATTTCACTTCTCTAATTGAAATGGAGGGCACATACGTTTTGAAGGGGAAAATAATACGCTTTTTATCCAACGTGTGGTTAACTAATATCGCGTATTGCCACGTAATTTCTCCGTCCGCCACGTAGAGATTTTTATCCAGTTGTAGAGACGGAATTAGCTTTAGTGATTGATGGGTAAACTAATTAATAGTTTAGTGAGCATCAAGTAACCATTTATATTATCAGTGAGCAAGTAGTAACCATGGGTAAAATTTAGTAAGTAGTGATTTAATTAACTCTCATTCAATTACAAAATCCACATCATCTAATATTTTCTCAAAAATTCAAGAAGCGTGGACGAAAATTGGCCAACCGGGCAATTCTGAGACGCCTTGTTTCAGAGTCATTAGAATCTTCTGCATTGTTCTGGTCCTCCATGTACGTTTCCTCATTATCCTTGAGTGCTGTTTAGGGTAACAATAATTTTAGGACCTATAATGTTTCTTTGAGAAGTATGGAGCAGTATGTTGGGACTTGACCCATTTCTGTCGAGGCCCTGAAACCCAATGACACATTTCCTCGCAGGCATAACTCGGCCACACAGGAAGAGCAAGCCAAAATGGCAGAGTTTGTTGGGTATAAAGCCCTGATATGCTCATTGATGCCACAATACCTAAATCTATTCGAATTGATAAAATGAAAATGCGAATTTGATGAAGGATTGACTAAGGCACAAATGATTGAACATATGAAGAATTTGGCGTCTAAGAATAAGATTGCAAATTCATATATTGGGATAGGTTATTATAATACTATTGACATATAAAAATAAGGCCCAATGATTAAATGAGGCCTAATGATTAAGTCAGACCCAATTATGTGGTCCAAGAAATGGAGTCCAGTTAGAGAAATTGAGGAATTGGCCCAAAAAAGACCATGGTAAAATATAATGACAGCCCACGAGCAGAGGACTATCATCACCTAAGCCTGTAGAATGCTCAGGATCTGAGCGAATGAAGTACCCCATTGTCGTTCAGAACGAGGGTCTCACTCTAGTCCAAACCTTCTAAACGTCCAAGGTCTGGATGAATATAGCATTTTGTTCAATTATTGAAGCAGTTATTGAGCAACCTTATCACACCTCACGATCCAAGAATCTCGGTTACAAGTGGTTAAACGACAGTTCCTTAAGTCGCCATCACGAAAAAAGTGGGTAATTATAGAGGGCCAAATAGTTTCCAAGCAATTCTACAAGAGAAAATCGGCAAAGGAGTACAAAAAGGAAAAGAAGACATAGAAGGAAGGACCCCGAAATCAAACACTCTAAACAGAGAATATGTAATTTCAATTCATTTACTTTCTATTTGAAAATGTTCAATTTACTTCGTATGCTTGTACCCCTTGGAGGCGTTTTGCTTCTTTTCAATTATAATTTTCATAAATAAAGCATCACTTTTTGAGACTTTGTCTCAAGAGGTTTGTTTCTTACACAATCGTCTAAACCTTTCTTTTAATTGTTAGCGATAATCCACGCGAAACAAATTGGCACGCCCGGTGGAACATTGATGTTTGAGGATACGAAAAGTGAAGCATTATACCTCATAAGAATTCTGATAAAGAAACAGCAAGCCAGGAATAGTCTAGTCTGTGATCGAGCGATATGAGGAGAACAAAGCTCTCCACGAATAGAGGGACACAGTCAAAGCAGTCAAAGTCGTTAGAGCCAATGACAGAGTTGAGTCTTCGAACCATGCGCGTATTGCTTGGGGAACTCACACAGGATGTCGTTGAACAGGTAAATCTACGAAATGTTCACAATATGGAAAGATTTACTCAAAGTGGGAATACACATTATGACAATATGGCCAAACAACTAAACACCTTGAATGAAATTATGAATAAGTTGGTAGACCAAATATGTCAACCAGTTGTACCAATAGGGAGTCACTTTCAAACCAAGACGATTGTGGGACATAATTTTCCACATAATTCCTCTGGTTTGAACCCAAGTCAAGGGTTAGAACCACATTTTGGTTCGTCTACTTCAAACCAGGGGGGTAGTGGAAGCTAAACTTGAATAGTGGTAATGAGATGACAAACCTAGGGGGTAACCCAAATATAAGAGGCAAGGTTCTAAATAATGAATAGAACATCCCTCGTGTTAATGATGGAGTAAAACTCAGGCTAACGGTAATAATGGCCCAAACAATGGCAATTTTATCGCCAACCAAGGACCAAATATTAGACCTCAAGTAAATCAACCAATGAACCAACCTGTAGGAGTTCCATATGATCCCAATGTCATATTGAGGAATCAAATTATGAAAATAGTACAGGATCAAATGGCTTTTGGGGTACGTCCTGTTATTAGGCCGACTTACACAAAGCCATATCCTGATTGGTTAGATCAGGCATATCCGTAACCTAGAGGGTACAAAGTGCTAGAATTTTCATTATTCATTGGTTTAGGAGAAGTGTCTACTCTGGAACATATATGGCGATCACACTGCAAAGTGGTGAAGTAACTGACTATCATAAAATGAGGTTGTTTCCTAGTTCGTTAACATAAGTAGTTTTCTCCTGGTTCATTAATTTGCCAACAAAGTTTGTTCAAACATGGCACCAACTGAAACAATTGTTCCATGCTCAGTTTTATAAGACTGAATCTAAAGTCATTTTGACCGATTTGACGAATTTACATCAAATGCCAAACTAATGGGCAGAAGGTTTCCTTCAAAGGTTAAAAACAGTTAGGAGCAAATGTTTTGTACCTCTACCCGAGAAAGAATTCGTCAAAATCGCTCAAAATTATTTGAGTTTTGATTTGAAAAAGAAATTTCAGGACACAAAATTTCCTGATCTTTTTCACTTAGCGCAAATGTGATTAGGTATGAACGTTCGATAAGAGAAGAAGAACAAATGAAAAACTCTAGTAAAGGGACTTATTATAGAAACCCAAATTTTGACGTCAAAAGTTCAAATTTATCTTTTTGTTTGGCAGCACTGGCTTTGCCGATATCCATGTCCACAAAAGAAACATACTCAAACACTGATTCCTTGAGAGTCTTCATATTTTCCTCCGATAAAGCAGAAGATGAAGCAGAAAGACGACTGGTTAAATAAGGGCGAGATGTTTTTACTTGTTCCCAAGAAGTGAACAAGTCCCGAATGGAGCGCACGATGGCATCCGCATCTTGTAAAGAAAAATACAAGCATTTAGCATTCTCACAACAGTAAATGAAGTGAAGATAAAAAATGAAACAAAGGCTACCTCATCAGCAACCTTGGAAAGTTCGGGCACGTCACCGGTTGACTCAGTCATCTCTGGACACTTCTCCTTATCTGGATGAGTAGACTCTACCACAACGAGCAGATCCATGAGAACCTTTGCAGAATTCCAAAAGTAATGAATCAAAGACCAATAGTGCAAGCAAGAGTAAAGACATTAAAATATGTATTACCTTCTGGTTCAACACTTTGGGGGTCAACGCCCTAGGAAGGCGGCAGCTCTCCAATTAGTTGTGGCGAAGACTCTAGGGTTATGGATTCCTCTTTAAGCAGAGTTCCTGCATCAGATGACTTGGATAAAGCAGCTTCAGAAGGAGGTGACGAAGTAGGGGCCGCTAAGACTAGAGCCTTCGAGGAAGAAGTTGAACTCTTCTGAAAATTCAGGTAAAGCCTTAGCCTATGAAGAATAATTTGGTGCATAAATAACATGCTTAAATACCTTTCTCTTGATGATGAGAGGAGCATCATCATCATCTGGCAAAATTGGTGAAGATGGGGCTGGCCGTTTATGACTGGAATCACCTTTGGCTGCACTAGCTCGAGCAGCAGAAGAAGTAGATGGAATTACCAAATGTTTAGTTCGAGTAGGTAAAGAAGGATTCCCGATAGACATGGGAGAAGCAAAGATAGGAGAAATAGAAGAAATTGCTAGTCGTTCCAATAGGTAGAAGGCATGGTTAGCATCAGAAGCGAATAAACTGCGCTTCACAGACGACCAGAATTGTTCAAAAAGAGGATGAACATCAGAGCTAGAGTTGAAATGGGCTAATGAAAAGTTGTTTGCCAAAAGAATTTTACGGGCATATATATAGCTTGTACTTCTGTTTTATTAATAGCATGGAAATGGTCTATCAAACTTTTAGAGTAATAAGAAGGAATCGGCCAGGTTTTGCTAAAACCAAGTTGACGAGCAAAAAACTGGGGAGCATATATCTCAAACCCGACCTTGGTATTTGTTCCAGTTAAGATGTAGTGGAACAGTTCTCTCCCAATCAAAAATTGAACCCAAATGGTCAAAAATGTGCTCACATTGTCCATAGTGGACGAGGTTGCACATAATCTGGAGTTGAGCAAGAAAAGGAAAAAAAGGAAGGGATTGAATCTAAGTTATAAAAGAATGAAAAAAAGTCCTTATTGGATATATTTACAGGGCTTAATAGGTCAGTGGCTAGCCCATAACAGCTGGCAAAACGAAGGAGAGTAGATGGAGCATCAAGTTGTGGAAAGTATGCTCTCAACCACATTGAGCAAGCCAAAGAGGTGGGAGATACACCATTCCTCAATTGAAATTGGACGGTAATCGTGCCTCTATAAAAGGTGGCTAAAAATAATGAACAGAGATTCAAAGGTCTACCACGTGCCAATTCATGCGCTATAGATAGATAACTCATAGAAGGTTTCATACTGGGCACACAAAGAACATATTTACAAAGCTAAATTTGAAGAAAGGCCACACGCTCAGCATGGGAAGGTTTAGCGCTCGAATGATTATAAAGTCCTTGCATGCCCGAATAGGACTCAGTCAGTTTTTTGTCAAACTTTGGAGCAGTGTCAGTAACTAAAATACACGGAAAAATGGTATCGCCCAAGGGCAGAAGATTTACTAAGGCTCCAACGTCCCTTAAGATAATAGACATTGGACCGAGCGGGAAAACAAAGGTATTATATTCAGAAGACCAAAAACTAAAAGCAATAGGAAAAAGCACTGGGTCGAAAATTGGAGGTTGAAGAGCGATTTCTAATAAATCTGAAATCCTAGCGTGATAAAAAATTGTCCTGGTAGAGCCATGATTTACCAGACGTGCATGCCATCTACGAAAAATAATATTAGTTTTGGGCTAAGTGAGAATACCTTTATTGCGAATCGGCCTCAGTGGCAAAGAATTCAAAAACGAAGGGCCTTAAGTACAGGAGAATAGCTGACCCACCACCGCTTGTCCGATAGATTCAGCATAATAAAATGATGGACCCAAATAAAACTCATAGAGGTCAGGGTTGGCCGATGAAAGAAAGTTTGAGTTTATATATGGCATGGTGAGGAGGTTTTGGAAATCCTCGAAACTAAGAGAGTTATTAGAAGGAGTTTGTGAAGTCGCCATTTGATGTAAAATACAGTCTGTGAGATTTGCTTAAGAAACATAGTAGGGAAGCAAGAAGATGAACAGTAAATAGTGAGAGAGAAGCACGAAATGTAGAGGCGTAGGTTAATGTCTTTTGGGTTATATGGGTGTAGTGTTACATTCTTCAGGTTATTAAGAATTGTCGCCAAATGTAAATAATCATTACAATTATTCACTCTTTTCCGATAAAACAAGCGTTGCCAGAAAAAATACGGTATAAGATTAATGCTAGGCATTATTTTTGCCATATTGGGGGGTAATTGTTGACATACAAAAATAAGGTCAAATTAAATGAGGCCCATGATTAAATGATGCCCAATTAGGGAAATTGAGGAATTGGCCCAAATAAGACCATTGTAAAATATAATGATAGCCCATGAGTAGAAGACTATCATCGCCCAAGCCTACAAAACACCCAGGATCTGAGCGAATGAAGTACCCCATTGTCTCTCAGAACGACGGTCTCACTCTCGTCCAAGCTTTCGAGATGCTCAAGGTCTGGATGAAATGGCGTCTTGTTCAGTTATTGAAGAGGTTATTGAGCAACCTTAGAACACCTTACGATCCAAGAATCTCGGTTACAAGCGGTTAAACAACAAGAATAATAACAACAGTTGCTAACGACAGTTCCTTGACAAGTCAGTCATCACGAAGAAAGTGGGTAGTTATAGAGTGCCAAGAAGTTTCCTAGCAGTTCTACAAGAGAAAACCGACAAAAGAGTATAAAAAGGAAAAGAAGACATAGAAGGAAGGATCCTGGAATCAAACACTCTCAACAGAGAATATGTAATTTCAATTCATTTACTTTCTATTTGCAAAATTTCAATTTACTTCGTGTGGTTATGCCACTTGGAGGTGTTTTGCTTCTTTTCAATTGTTATCTTCATAAATAAAGCACCCCTTTTTGGGACTTTATTTCAAGAGGTTTGTTCCTTACACAATTTTCTGAACCTTTCTTTTAATTGTTAGCGATAATTCGCGCGAAACAAATACTCTGGTACTTCCTGTTATATTGAGGAATATTATGGAGAATCCAGGACACGATATACCCCGTACCAGGCTAAAATTTCACAGGGCCGTCTTGACTCCCTGCTAAATTTTCAGACAATGATTACGGATCTTACTAGATTGCCCATGTTGAATGCTTCTTTGCTTGATGAAGGGACTGCTGTAGCAGAGGTAATGGCATGTGTAACAATATTGAGAAGGGAAAAAGAAAACTTTTGTTATTGCTAGTAACTGTCACTCCCAAACTATTGACGTTTGCGAGACAAGAGCTTATGGATTTGGGCTTAAGGTTGTCGTTTCTGATGTAAATGAGATTGATTATAAATCAGGGGATGTTTGCCGGGTCTTAGTTCAAATATCCAGGAACTGAGGGTGAGGTTTTGGATTATGGGAAGTTTATTAAGAATGTGCATGTCAATGGAGTTAAGGTTGTCATGGCATCTGATTTGTTGGCTTCGATTATGTTGAAAACCCCAGGTGAGTTGGGTGCAAATATCATGGTTGGTTCAGCTTAGAGGTTTGGTATCCTGATGGGTTATGGAGGTCCTCATGCAGCTTTATTAGCTATATCCATAAAAGGATGATGCTAGTAAGAATTATTGGTGTCAGTATTGATGCTACAAGAAAGACTACACTTCGTATGGCAATGCAGACTAGGGAGCAACATATTCATAGGGACAAAGCTACTAGAAACATTTACACAGCCTAGGTAGCTTTAATTTCTGTTGTCTTTCTATATTTTTTTTGTGTTTCCTTTATCTCTTTTCAATATCAGCAATAACTAACAATCTACTGAAGCTGAATATGTCAAATTTGAAATTGGTGTCAACTGTACTTGAATTGCTTCTTATGGATAGAGATTGATGAGAAATGAATTTTGTGTTCTAATTACTACATGAATGACAGTCATCGCCATTAAGTCACAAACTTTTATGTACATCTAGCTTGATTAATCCAATTATCTGCTCATATTCAGTGAAAATTCTAATTTTTTATACTTGGTCTATTTAGTATCATCTTCTGTTTTAGTAGGCATTGTTGGCAAATATGGTTGTTATGTATGATATTTATCATGGACTGGAAGGCCTTAAAACCATTAGCCAAAGGGTTCGTGGTCTGGCTGAAACATTTTCCACTGGACTCAAAAAACTTGGGACTTTAGAAGTCCAAGGTCTTCCTTTCTTTAATATTGTAAAGGTCAAGTGTGCTGACTCAAAAATCATTGTTGATGCTGTTTATAAGAATGAAATAAATTTGCAGATTGTGGACAAGACTATTGTGAATGTAAATCTATGTTACCTTGATTTGTAAATTACTACTTTTACTGGAAAAATAATAAAATCTCTGTCATTCACATAACCGTTTCTTTTGATGAAACAATCACTTTAGAAGATATGAACAAGCTTTTTGAAGTCTTAGCAAATGGCAAGCCTGTAGGTAACAATTTTTAAGGCGCCTGTGTAATTTTCAAGTATTTATATGTTAGTAACCTTTTTATGTTTATTAGGTGACATTCACTGCTGCATCTCTTGTGTCAGAGGTTCAAACTATGATTCCTCCAGGGCTTGCGAGGGAGAGCCCATATCCGACTCATTCAATATTTAACTCGTATGGCCTTTCCAAGTGAAAGTTGATCATCTTGTACAAAGTCGCCACAACACAATCTAACTTGTAGTTTGATTTTGCAGATACCACACTGAGCATGAGCTTCTTCGATACATTTCTAGGCTTCAATCAAGGGATCTCTCGCTGTGCCACGGTATGATTCCATTGGGATCTTGTACTATGAATTTGAACCAACAACTGAGATGATGCCAGTGACATGGCCTGCCTTTGCAGACCTCCACCCGTTTGTTCCTAATGAACTGATTGCGGGTTACCAAGCTATCATAAATCACTTGAAATATAATCTCTAAATCAATTTTTGTGATTGTAGAATTTCAGATTTTATGTTTATGGTTAATAATGATAATGAACTGCGATATTCTTCTTCCAGGAAATATTCAAAAACTTAGGTGAATTGTTGTGTGCAATTACTAGTTTTGATTCATTGTCTCTACAACCCAATGCCGCATCTGCTGGTGAGTATGCCAGATTGATGGTCATTCGTGCATATCATATGGTATTGTAGTACAATCATAAATCTTAGAATTTCTAAAAAGTTAGTGTTCATAGTACTAGATCATATAAGTTACTCCTCAAGGCTTACCTTGTATTGAGCTAGAAGAGAATATTCCATCACAAGATATCCAAGGATTTTAAAATGAGTAAAAATGCTAATAAAATATTTCATATTCATGCAACACTTCTTAACGTCGTTGCTTAAGGGCGTTGTGCTAGGGGTATTAGGGTAGTTTTTAAATTTTAAATTTTTTTATTATTTATGCTCATTATATTTAACTTGTAATGTAGTCGAGAGGATATCACCACCGTGATATATGTATTATACTAGTCTCAGTACATGGAACAAATCCTGCAAGTGTTGCCTTGTCTGGGATGAAAATTGTTAATGTTGGAACAGATGCCAAGGTAAACATTAACTTTGAAGAGTTACGGAAAGCTTCTGAAGCAAATAAGGAAAACCAAGCAACTCTTACGGTATATATAAGTATAATTTAGGTTTATTGAAGATATTTTCAGTTGCAAATATCAAGGATTTCCAAAACACTTACTCAAATCAGGTTACATATCCTTCAACTCATGGAGTTTATGAGGAATGCATAGATGAGATATGTAATATAATTCATGACAATGGTGGTCAAGTATACATGGATGGAACAAACATAAACGCTCAGGTTGATAACTGACTCACATTCTTCTACTTTATTTTGTCCCATTCTAGTTATCAAACAGTCCTCTTATGTCATAATTATGTCTAGAAAATATATCGACATATTCTTGAACATTTCTTTAATGCTTCATGCATGAGCAAAATTACCATTGTTATTTTTCCTTATTCAGATAGATTAAGAATTGAAATGGGAGAAATGTGCCTGATTATTTACCTTTATTGGCTATTTATGGCTTTTGTTGTAAATATTGCTCAGAATAATTTGTATTTATTATTGATTTATTTTTGTCATGTTCGCCAAGTACCTTCTTCATGCTGATTTAGACCATTTCTTTACTTGATTTTTTCCCCACTTTTCATTATATATACCTTCTCTTTGCTCGTTGATTCAAATGCAACTTTGTCCTTTTTCCCCTATATCTCCATTTTATGTTGATGCTTCTTTTGCTTTTCCTTCAACGCTGCACCCTGAAATCCGAATCTAATTACTTTGTTAATCAATTTTTTTATGCATACAAGTTGGTTTGACAATCCCAGGCTTTATTGGTGTTATTGGTGCAGATGTTTGCCATCTTAATCTCCACAAAATATTTTGTATTCCTCATGGTGGAGAGGGACCTTGCATGGAGCCTATTGGTGTGAAAAAAACATCGGGCACCTTTTCTACCATCGCATCCTGTGGTATGTAAAGAAAAATTCAATCAATTTGTTTTGTGGATGTAAATATTCTGTAATGGCAAGGTTCAAAGTGTCTTTTTCATTTTTTATCGTTTATACTTTAACTTCTGTGTTGTTCCAGATATCAACAGGAGGCATACCAGCCCCTGACAAGTCTCAGCCCCTAGGTACTATTTCTGCCGCACATGGGGCTCTGCACTCATTTTGCCAATATCATACACCTACATTGTCATGATAGGGTCAAAGGGATTTACAGATGCTTCAAAGATAGCTATCTTGAATGCAAACTACATGGCAAAGCGTTGGAGGTCTCTTTTTCCTCCGTGTCATTTCACTACACTTCATGTTTTGCCTTCTATTTAACCATAAGAAAGAACAAAATTGAGAGATCCTATGTACAGTCATGGCCTTCAATCATTGTCTAAGAAGAATATGTGTGTGTATGTGTGTGTGTTTCCCTTTCCTCAATTCATGTTTCCTTAACATTCTTAAATGTGTCATTTTGCCATAGATGATATGACCTTGATACCTGATTTTCTTTTATTGAAATAACGAAATTTGAGCATGAACACTCATTCTTCAGAGAATATTTGGTACCGTATTGGCAATCATCATTTCCCATGTTAATATTTTATGTTTTGGATTGACAGAAGCACTACCATGTCCTTTTCCGTGGTGGCAATGGTACGGTTGCTCATGAGTTCATCGTCGACTTAAGGGGCTTTAAGGTAATTTTGGTTGAATGTAATGTATGGGTAGCTTCCTTCCAATTTCCACAGTCTCTTTTTCTTACTGCAAGTGACATTTACTGTAGAATATTGTTGGAATTGAGCCTGAAGATGTTGCTAAATGTCTCATGGACTATGGATTCCATGGACCAACAATGTCATGGCCAGTTCCAGGTACACTTATGATTGAACCAACTGATAGTGAAAGCAAGGTGAAACAAATAAAAGCTGTAGTCTTATATTATGTGGACAATCACAAGCACTAAGTATGATTTTCTCCATCATGTGCATTTTTGGTAGACACGACTCGAATGTATAATGCAAGGATTTAACATATTTTTCTTCCTTGATACTGTGAAATAAACGCTGACTTATTTTGTTCGCAGGTCGAGTTTGACAAGTTCTGTGATGCTCTTAGTTCAATTAGAGAAGAAATTGCACAAATCAAGAAAGGAAATGCTGATGTTCATAACAACGTTCTCAAGTTAACAATGCATTTCTTTGGATGGACCTTTGCTGTTGTTAGATCACCTCTGCTATCTTTTTCTCCTAACATATTTTGGAGAACTAATTGAGGTTACGAATCCAGGGAGAATCGCAACCACTATCGCTACTCATGGCTGATGCGTGGACTAAGTTGCATTCTTGGGAATATGCTGCCTTCCTTGCTCCCTGGCTTAGGTTTAATGCCAAGTTCTGGAACTATAGGTGTGCTTAATAAACAATGATATGCGCCATCGACATTCCTTTCTATAACAAATTATTCATTGGTAACGTGTTGACAATGTGTACTTCCTTCTGGTATCCCAAATGGTTGAAGAACCAGCTACAACAACTACTTAAGATTCAGCACCGAACCTATGTGCAAGGTTTCTTCTTACTCATTATCATTTTGCGTTTACCTACGGTAGCTTTCCAGTAATTGATAGGATCTAACGAGGAAGCTTTACATTCACCAAACGAGATTTAATATGATACAATTGAAGTAATAGATCACCAAACACTATAAGTTATTTCCTTATATTGCTCCAAGATCCGGGCTCAGTTAATCTCCAATCGAACACCACAATCAACCAATGGAACCACAAACCAACACTTCCCAAACACAAATGGTTGCTCCAATGATTTTAGCCCACAAAGGACTAGTGATGAAAGATTACAGCTTTAGAAAACAGCCACAAAGGCTAGGCAGAGAAGATGAAGAAACGGGTCTCTCGAAGGGAAGAGCACAGAACCAATTTTGCACCAATCAAGACAAGAACTGTTTTTTTTCTCTCTACTAAAAAAGGGGGGCAGCTACTTAATAATCTTTCACCCAAACAATAGTAATAGTCAACCAAATAAATAGTTAGCAATTTGTTTAGGCTTTAGGACAAACAACAGGGCCCAATAACAAACAATGACAAGTGGGCTAACACCTTAAAGCCATCCAAGTATTTGGATTGGGCCATAAGCAATTCTAATTAATTAGATCGCTTCAAATGGCCCAAGTGGATTACGTGATTCGATTGATTCGATTGTGGTATCGAGATTTCACTTCACTCATTGGCTGAGGCCCATGAAGTATAATCCAACTAAAAAAATCGCATCATAGCTCGGGATTTATTGGGTATCAAAACCCAACACAAAGACAAGATTTAAAGTAAAGAAAACACAAGATATAATTAATGGAAGAAGAAGATAATTTTATTTCAACTAATGGAGAGCATAAGTTATACAATGTGTATAATGATTCAAGAAATATGAAGGGAGGGACTACATATGTATAGGAGCATACTAAACCATAAAGATGGAAATAATATAAAAATAATGTGAAATAATGGAAATAATATTTTTCCAATAAAATCACGTGAAATAAAAGGAAACAATATCACGTGAAAATAAGGAAACAATGTTTCACAGTATTTTTTCCAATAAAATAATGTACAAAAAAGGTGAAAAATATTCTCAAAATATTCTACATAATTTGGATCATCAAACCTAACAATCTCCATCTTGACACAAATTTCTGTGTATCGAACTAATCAACAAATTTCTCCACCTGGAAAAATAAATTCGACAGCATCGAAATGACAAAACCCTTCAATCAAAAACTTCAAATCTCTCCAACACAAAAAACAATCTTCCTCTCCAAGTATCCAGCATGATACACGAACCACACCTGGTTCCCAAAAATTCCACCATGGAAACAATCAATCAAATAGTATCCACAAATGATACTCGATCACAATCAACCAAACAGGGTAGAATCACACCCTGTAGTAGAATCATCACCAAGTGCTTGAACTAAAGATTGCTTACTAGACACATCATCTTCAAAAACCACAAAAATACACACACCTACATCTGGACTGTACCTCTCCTGAATGAGTCCTTCCCTAGCAATAGAACACAATGGAAACACTGAAACTGGTGGCAAAGTGGGATTACCCATGTCAATCAAACTCTCATGAGTAGTGTTCACCAAATTCGACTCAGAGCCAAAACCCAGCTGTACTGTACCAAACTGAATATCCCCTACGATACGAAAAATGTCCAAATGTCTTCTAATTGGTTCTGTACGCCCTTGCAAGATGTAAAATTAAGACTTTTTTCATCCATCAAGTACCACTAGAGCACCACTACGGACCTTCAAGATTCCACCTCTACCGGAGAACGTGTACCCCTTTGAATCTAGAGTACTCAATCAAATGAGGTTCTTACCTAAGTCTGGAATATGTTGAACCTGGCCAAATGTTCTAACCGTCCCATCCAATAACCTTAATCTGATTTTCCCAACTCCAGCTATCCTACAAGATTGGTTGTTTCCCATGACAACTCCACCTTGTGTCACCGCCTCAAATGCTTCAAATAAGTCCCGATTGGGAAACATATGATACAAACAAGCTGAATCTAAAATACATTCATCATCAGGCTTGGATACAGTATCACATACAGTCAACACCACAACTTCATCATTCTCAAAGTCTTCGGCAATATTAGTCTCATCCGTATGATTAGATTGTCTTCCATGAGCTGCAGGCAAATTACCTTTATTCTGCAACTTGTCACAATCCTTCAAAATGTGCCCTTTTTTCTTGCAATAGAAACAAACCACATTGCCAAATTTCACCCTCAACTTACCTCTCCGCCAATCACCATGAGTCACAAGAGCTTGCTCATCCCTTGATGTAGCTCCAATAAGATGGTTCATCTTCTCCTTAGAGAATAACGCATCATACACATCCTCAACGGTGAGTATATCACAACTATATAAAATCATGTCCCAAAACGACGAATATAAAGAAGGTAAAGAGCATAATAATACTAAGGCAAGATTCTCTTCATCATATTTTACCTCTAACGTCTTCAAATCAGCGGCGATCTCCTTAAACACGGCCAAATAAGCTTCCACTGAATCTCCGTCTGCCATGCGATGAGAATAGAGCCTCTACTCCAAATGCAATTCACCGGTCAAACTTTTGGTCATACAGAGTTGCTCCAACTTCAACCACAACGCAGCTGTTGTCTTTTCCTTCAATACGTCTTGAAGAATGTTGTTAGATAGATGAAGGTGAATATGAGACATAGCCTTTCGATCCTTCCTTTACTTCTCCTATGTTGTCCAAATTGCAGGCATCTTCTCAAATCCCAACAACACATCCTCCAGATCCATCTGCGCCAAGACAGCTCTCATCTTTACATGCCACAACGAAAATATTGTACTGCGATCCAAAAGCGGAATATTAAACTTCATTGAAGCCATTACACAAAAAAAAAATCTCAAAAGCAAAATTTCACAAAGCCTGAGCTTTGATACCACTTGTTAAGATCTAATAAGGAAGCTTTGCATTCACCAAACAAGATTTAATATGGTACAATTGAAGTAATAGATCACCAAACACAAGATAAGATTTAAAATAAAGAAAACACAAGAGAGAATTAATGGAAGAAGATGATAATTTTATTTCAACTAATGGAGAGCATAAATTATACAATATGTATAATGCTTCAAGAAATATGAAGGGATGGGCTACATATTTATAGGTGTATACCAAACCATAAAGATGGAAATAATATAAAAATAATATAGAATAGTGGAAATAATATTTTTCCAATAAAATCACGTAAAATAAAAGAAAACAATATCACGTGAAAATAAGGAAACAATATTTCGTATTTTTTTCCCAATAAAACAATGTGCAAAGAAGGGGAAAAATATTCTCGAAATATTCCACATAATTTGGGTCACCAAACCTAACAGTAATGACCTTTGATTTCACATGTTTCAGCCTGAGGCTGGCTCAGAACATGAAGGGACTTGGGTAGGAGACAAAGTACTCTCGACGATTCATCTTGTTGTCTAGTTGTCCATAAAAAATCTATGTTCATGTACTTGTTTATAGTAGTCGACATTCATCTTCTTACTAAGTTGATGATCTGCTGCTGTTAGCTATTTTTCCATCATGTAAAAAATTATTATTTCTCATGTTTTATATTTCTAATCACAACAATTTTAGCTTACTACAGTTATTGCTAAAGATAATATTCCATCAATGAACTTTAAGAAAAAAATTGCTCGAAATATTTTCGACAATGAACATTTGCTATATTAATTTCATGTAGTATCATTCATGCTAATGAACTGGACAAGCCATAAGTCAATCCATCTCGACATAAATCATTAATTTCGTACATTTAAATAAGCATTAATTATTAAGTCTACACTAAAAGTGTGCTTGATTGATTTTATTTTTCATGGAAAATGTCATTTTCTCATTTAAATTCCTACTTTTGAGGTGTCTGATTGACAATTTTTTCTATGAAAAATATTTTTTAACTTTCGTGTATGTGACCATATTTTTCTCAAAAACAAGAATGTAATTCACTCTTTTATCTCTCTATCTATCCCCATTTCTCATCTATACACCAATAAAAATTGGACAAGTATAATATTGTCTAGATTGAAAATTAAATAAACCAAACACATTTAATTAATAATTTTCATACAAATAAGTTTTAGGCAATTGAATTCCTCAGAATTTATTTCATTTCCACGCAAATTTCATACTTGCAATCAAATGCACTTTAAGAGGAAAGAAAAAAAAATGGTAAGAAGCGAAAAATTTCATATTAGGTCCCTATCTGGTTCAACTTAAAAAGTAGATTAAATATTTAAATTAAATTTAACAATTAATTTTAACCACACATTTCATGAGACATACGACTTTTCAACCAGAAATTTCATTAATTTCTATCAAAATTTACTAAAAAATGATTTTTTTTTCTAGTTTGAGCCATCGTACAATCCCTAATGTTAAGGATCTTATCAAATATTTTTAATAAAGAACTTACTTTCAACTAGCCAAAAAGATCAATTAGTGATTAAATTGTTATAAATTTTAAAAGTCGAGGACTAAATTGTCAAAATCAAAGTTTTAAAATTCATTTGATATGCGTGTGTGTGTGTGTGTGAACGGGTTGATTAAATGAATGCTCATTAAACTCTGTCCTGTATCCGCTAAAATGCTTTGAGGTTGAACTTAGACAAAAGTTGCATTGCCTTTCCCATTCTTTTCTTGGCTCGTTTTCATCTCTTCAATATGCTTCATAGTTGCCTTGTGCAAAAGCCCTTGAGCTATTGACTTGTACTGTGGATGAGGTAGATCCATCAAGCAAACTAGTCGTATGCATTATGTTGGAAAAATCGGGACGTGGGTCGCCCATATGTGGTGACTCGTCTGTAAGATACTAAAATGAGTTGGATTCAAACCAATAACTTTCCTCAACCAACTTCCATAATAACCTTCATAATTGTTTAAGACGAGAAGAGGAAAATAACATTTGACTAATGAAAATTCGTATATTTGCATCAAACTAGAAAAAGTGCTTAGAATCACGTTTTTGGCATGAAATTTCACTAAGTTCAGTACTTAGATTGTGGATAATAATCTCCTAGCATACAATTGTCCAGAATAACTTGTACACTTGTCTGGGCACCATTAAAATGTGTTTTGGGAAAAAAATTATTTTGGAATAGCAATTTTAGTTTTTTTAGAAAAAAATGTGTAGTTAAAAAAAAGAAAAAATTAAAATTTACGTGTAATATTATTTTATTAGAGATAAAATAGAGTCCAAATAGGGGCATAGCTCATTCATAGTTGTGAGATGTGGCTGCCAAATTATCCTTTGTCAATATAATAAATTTGATTGGCTAAAGGTTAAGGTTAGAATCGGAGATTTTCTTTTGGACAACTAGTGGGACAACGTGCATTGCATGTTAATTGCTTATTGTTAAAAATAATTGTACGTAAATTTTAGAAAAAATTATTTGTAAACGACAGTGTATCAGGAAAATGCCTAAAGCGTAGAGATTTTCATATTCACCATGCTAGATAAGATTATATCAATGAATGAACAACAAAATTGGACCAATTACACATCATATAATTGCCCAACAGAAAACATTACTTAAAACAAAATTTCCAGTTAATTAAGTAATGTTATCGTCTCAATTACAAGGAATAAAAAAGTCGACAGTAACTCCAATAAATTTGCTACTCTTTTTCACTTTGCATTTGAAGGTTTCTCTCTATTTTTCAAAAAGGACACGGCATAGATAATTAGATGTTGATGCCCTACTAAAGAGAGATTGAATTTCAACCTAGCTTGCCTTGCCTTTTTCTACTTCTTGAGGTAAGACCTTATGTCCCCTTCATTGTAGTTCATTGTTCATTTTTGTTTGAGTAGGCATACAAATCACAACTTAGATTTCAAATATCGCAAGCAAGTTAATGAAAATTAAAAAATAAAGATGTCATAAATTACAGAAATAGTTATTGGGGTTGTTCAAGAATTTACCAAATCTAGGCAAATTGAGAAAGGTAGAAGCATTTGGGTACTAAACCCGGGAGCTTTTATAGCACAAACCTGCACATATTATAGATACAACACTGAGATGAAGCTGAAATCAACATAACCAGCTGGGAAGACATATTTCCCTGATAAAAGCAGTAGAGGTACCTTAATTCCAGCACGAAAATTTGCAGAATAGAAATTTTCATTGATAGTTTGATTAAAGTAACACTAAACT